ACCAACGACAGCAACCTTACCTGTCGTTACTCAAAAGGTAATCCATGGGGTTTAAAGAGTAACAACAAGTCATTTGATATGTGGATGGTTACAACATTATTTAAATCCTTAATAACCCTATCCAAATTAAAAATAATGCTTGTTACTACTAAAGTAAGGGTTGAGCTTTAAGCTCTTAATGGAATTCAGTGCTAAAACACAAGTACCTCTAAAAGTAACAAAGGTATTGGAAGAACTTCGCTTAGACAAACTTTGAGGTGGTGCTGCCTCAATAGAAAGTTAGAGTTTTTCTCTTAAAAGTTTGTTGAAAAGGATAAGCGCAATGTCATAATAGCGTTAAGTGAGTTATGATGAACTTGAAAACACGTGGTACTCGTGTGTGTTCTTACCGGTATTGTCACATGGAATAACTGGTTCAAAACTTCATGCTACCTTTGATTTCGATTTTACTTTGTTTGAATTACACTATGGTTAGATTCAAATTGAAAGAAATCTAATCCTTATGCATGAGTACCGTATAATTTGAATATAAGACATTGTTAATTTTGAACAAGTGGGGGACTGTTGGAAGAAGGTTGTTCAAAACTAACAATTGGGTGGAGTAAAAAAAAAAGTGAGGCTACCCATGCGACCGCATGGCATAATAGCCATGTGGTCGCATGCCGAGACCCAAAGGTCTTGGAGTGTGTGAAGCATCAATTGCATGGATATGTACCACGCGGTCGCATGGTACAATAATTTGACCATTTTTGCTCGTTTATAACTTTGTAAATTTGAAATTGGTGGCTTTTCACTTATTTTTGGCACCATTTTATACTTCTGGTCGAGGCCTATATATAGGTGAGCCATGTTCAAGGGAAAGATGTTAGAAAAACATCTTGTTATCCATACTTTATTCCAAAAACAATAAAATTTTGGTTTACATTCATATTCATTTTCTTATCGTGTTCTTCAAGTTTCGGAGAATTTCGCTTTGGCTTTGGTGAAATTCTTTACAAGACTTGTTATAATCCTTCAAATCATTTGTCAAAATACCCTTAAGCATCTCATAATCATCGTAGAGGAGACAAATAATGTTTGAGGACAACGATCTTGCGTTCGAGCCTTAAAAGTTATTCTTGACAATTTTCTAATTTCTTCATCTTATTGTTGCAAATTTTGTGTTATTTCTTTTCTTTCTTCTCCATCACTCCAATATTTCCAACAATACTTACTTTTCATATTTCTATATATACTAAGATTTTACAAAATTTGGGATGCATTGATTCATTTGTATTTTAACAACTATCGCAGGGAAGATTCGAATGGATATTATTGTCTGTTAGGACAGTCTATAGACTGCTGAGAACTTTGAGAGACATACATTAGTCATGAATTGGTGCTCTGAACTCGAATAATCACATTTGGACTTTTGGAGATATAAATGATCAGATCATTAACAATGATGTTAGAGTAAGGGCACACTTTGTTGAAACTTATAAAAGATATACTCAAGAAGTTTCTAAACCTTAAATGGTTAGCCTCCGGTCGGGAGTAGTGATGGCAATGGACCTAGCCGAGCTTGTGGCTCTTGAAAGATGAGCCGAGCTCGAGCTCCTTGGCCGAGTCGTGATTTCTTAATTTTTAATTTTTTGACTTTTCTTTTATAAATTTACACATTTTTTGATGAGCCCACTAGCTGAGCTCGTAAGCTCGTCAAAAATGGTTCATGTGCACACGGTCCAAGAGCCGTTCGGGGGCTCGACTTGTGGATTGAGCCCCCTGCTCGGCTCGGGCTCGTCATTTGACGAGCCCGACCTGTCCACGAGCCAAATTTTAACGAGCTGAGCAGCTCGTTTGACATCCCTAGTCAGGAGTTAGCAAGTGGTGAAAATGATGATCCGCTCCCCACATGGGACCTATCCATGGCTTCATCTCCAAAACAGTGTCTTCATAGGCTTGAGGAAACATATTGTTGTTTTTAAATTTCTTGCAGGGGCAATTTATTGTCCTCTGGTGGAGGTGATTAGTGTAGGAAATTATATGGGAGACAAAAGAAGTTTGGATATTGGGCTGACTTGTTGGTCTGCATGACCTATTTGGGTAGGCCTAATTCTGTAGAAAGGTTTGGTCGATTTTGAATCCCAATAAGGTAAGACAGACACCAGCCCACCACTCTTTGAATGAAAATACATTTATGTTCATCTGCCACCGTATTTCTGGTTAAAGATATGTTATTAGTCAGTGATCTAAATTTGGTTTCACTCCTAGAATGGAGGGCTTGCAACGAAAGGATGTTGCTAGAACAATAGACGTTCGTTAAACAAATGCCAACATTTGTTGCTTATAAAATATGAAAATACGTGGACTTTCATGAGACATAGACATTGCTAGTCATTTATATGTTGATCGCAGGCAAAGATAAAGATGTTTATCCAATTGATAGACATAATCAACTATGCGATTGAACCTTAAAAAAGTTGTTAAACTCTAAGTTCAAGTATAACCCTAAAATGTAGGGGTTATCATTAATGTTTGTGAACTTATATGAAAAGTTCAAACGTGTGGATGTAACACTACTACTTGCACATACATTCTTAATTGAGGGATTGTAGGGGTAACTTATTTACAAGTTACATTCCTTATACCTTAAAGTCATAGAAAAACGATCTATGAAGGTATAAAGGTAGGACACCCTTATACTAATTGTAAGAATGGTTCACAAAACATGATGCATTCTAGTTTTAAAAAGTCGATAAATAGGATGAAAATTGATTATTGTATTTGTATTGGATATTCAATAATAATTGTTGGAATATTTGAAGAATATTCGAAAGATGAACTACATTGTAGTTGATATTGGTTCAATTGTAAATTGAATATCCATAATACGAAATTCACTAGTAAAAATGTTTGACTAGTGCAATGATTTAGAAATCCTCCAACTATACTATTATTTGGAAGATGATATAGCTTTAGATTAAAGCTTGATAGAAGTATGTGGCTTCATAAGATGATTTCTTAGTTGGTGACAATCTGTATCTAATAAATGAATTATTGTGATTGCTAGCTATATTTAATGGGATAAGAACTCACCTATAATATATGTCATACTATCACAAGTAGTTGATCTCAAACAGTATAAACTCATGGATCCATTAAGAAAAAATTTACTGAGAGATCAAGAATACCACAAGTGTTTAAAAGCCTACTATGTAAGTATCTTTGTAATGGTAACTAAATCATGTTGACTGAAGATCAGATCACCTATATAAGTGTGAAGAGGGTCCACTTCAATGTCAATGTTTCAAGGCTTGAATTTCTAAAGCATTTATGAAATTCAAGAGTTGTTTAGGACCAAAATGAGCATAATAGTGAGAACTTAAAAATGTTAGGGAGGTTATTGTGTGAGTACATTGTCTTGGTATACATCAACGACTCTAGATCTCGAAAAGAGTTGAAAATGGTGCAACATCAAATCCTGTTACTTGGAATGGAATCTTAGCCCACCCACTTGCTTTATTTAACTACATAAGGGCATAAGCGAAGTGACAATCTTTCTATATGAAAGATTTTGACTTTTGACATTATTATTTTTCAATAGATGTGTCTTTTCAAATATAGAGACAAGTTTTAATACTTGTATCTCTTCCATAAATTGTGTCTTTTGGGATCAACCTTTTCAACATCTATATATAGATCAATGTGTTTATTTTCATTCATTCATTCACTTCATGATTGCATTATCATACTAATGTATATTCACTTCAAAATTCTATATTTATTTGGAGTCAAGTTTCATATAATGTGGGTTCAAAATATAAGTAGATTCATTGATTTACATAATTTGGAGTGCTCTTATTACGAGATGTGGTCGTTTTATCTAGGGAGACGAATGTCGAAAAATCATTAGTAACTGTGTGAGTTATTATCGTCTTAAGGAGAAAGAGTCAAACTTTTGTCTCAACTAAATTTATATTCATGCATTTTTCTTTTCTACTTTATGCATTTGATTTTGGTAAGTCAAAATTTTGTCCGATTTTATGCACATAAAATGTATGTTAGTTGAATATATTTTATGCACATCTATTTTTCTAATAGATTTGACTTGTATCAACCAAAGCTTGAGCAAGATGAAGTGGATCTAACTATGTGGCTTGCTCGATTTGCAAAAAGCCTTATTGAAATATGATGCAGCAACACCTCCCTAACTTGGAATTCGTCATTCGCTTTTATGATTTTTTAGGAATTCTTTGGATATGAGTGCAATTTTTGTGCTTTTTGGGTAGGCAGTGGTGACAAAGATTAGATTTCTTGATTTTTGGTTTCAGGGAAGTTTGGGGGTTCTAAACCCACCATCCCATTTTTGGATGGTGTAGAAGATGAGGAGGTGGTCAAAAATTGATTGTGTTTATCTTTGTGTATGTGTTTGAGACAGCAACGTTAGTTGGTGTTGGGTAGTGCCGATGATCATGTTGACGGTGGTGGTGATGATTTAGGGTAGAGTAAGGTAGGGTAGGGTGGGACTGGAGGAGATAACAATAATTTTTTTTCCTTTTTTATAATAAATTGTAAAATTACTATTTTACCCTTTTAAAATTTGGTCAAATTTTACTATTCTAGTTAACTAACTGTCAAATTGATGGTTTCCCTTAAAATGGATCTCAGTTGCTAATTTATGAAAGGTTATGGACCTTTATTGGCACAAATTGAATATTATGGTAAAGTTTGCAAAAATGTGAAAGCTGAGGGACCGTTGCTGCAATGTTCACAAATTTTGACAAAATGGGTTACACATACTTACAAAAAATACGGACTCCACATGAATTCAAAAATGTCGGCTATGTGGTCCTTACCCCTATTGTAAGTGTAAGTAAAACTTTTTGTACAAAAGTGTGAGTACGTGTAGCATGATATATTTTTAAATATTTTATAACTTTGGCAGAAAAAATGAAAAGCTTGGGACCTTGGTGCAATTTCCCTTCTTATTTTTATGTCTGTCATTGATTTCAAGACGTCCGATAAAGGGCAATTCTTTTTGGAAGTTTAGGGCTTATTTGCTGGCAATCAATTTTAAATCATTAGGAAAAGAAGAGGGCTTTTAGCTAACCTTCTGTGCATCGTGAAGAATATAGAAACTTAAATTCTTGATTTCTAGAATTTAATTTTTCCATTTCATCACAATCGGCGGTTGAAGAAGTTATTTGCCGCCATGACGGAGGTTTGTTCTTCTTCCTCTGTGTATTGTGTTTGTATTTTTTGATTTGAAGCTCAGCGTTTGCGTTTAAAGACACCCCATTAATTTGAACATCCAAAAATGTTGATATTTACAAGTGTTGTTATCCACCGGAAACACCATTAGAAATCCTAAATCCGCAAACTGTGCAGTATGGGACTAGAGCACTGAATTGCAATTCAGGAAAAGATTTGGAATGAATCAGCAGGAGTAGAATCGACATTTTTAATCAATGGATATCCACTTTTATGGATGTAGGAATGCAACTTAAGTAATATACAACTGGTTGTGATTCTACTGTTCAAAATCTAGCTACCAACTTGGAACTTGGGCTAATTTATTTTGAGCTAGGTAATTTCCGCTTCCGAAACTCAAAGATAACCATGTATCTATTACTGATAAAAACTTCTAGCTCGGGATGCACCCTTATCATGCCCTTGAAGAAATCAGTAGCATGTATGGTTTAGCATAAAAGTGAAAACAGAAGGCAATTTGTCTTCCTTTTTTGGCTTTTCTCTCCAGTATCTCTTTTACAAAAGAAGCCAACCCAAAAATGCTCTAGATATATTCAAAATATGTTATCAGGGTGCTAAGCAGACGCTTTCCAGTAGATATTACCCTGGAACACTCATCTTGTTCATCACGTGGGGCATTTTTTTTTGAAATTTGATTGCTTGGAATGGAGTTGATACGATTATAAAGTTATTGTGGGATGAGGTTTTACACTGAGTCTTTGTGTGTCTCTTCCTTTATATTCAAAGAATCTTTGTTGATTGGTTCCTCAATTTCTGTCTTATACTCTGTTTCTGTTTAATAGTTCTATTAAGTTTGATTAAATTTTGTTAGCTGGTTAAAACTTTCATTTTTGATGTTGTACAGTTCTGGGTTAGTCAGGGTAACAAGTGGTGTGATTTTTGCAAAATTTATATATCCAACAACCCAGCCAGCATTAGAAACCATGAGCTCGGAACACGTCACAAGGATAATGTTGCCAAGAAGCTCAATACCATGCGACAAGACAAAGTTGCAAAAGAGAAAGAACAAAAGGAAGCAGCTCGTGTCCTGGAACAAATTGAAGCTGTAAGTGCAAATTTTGTATTGCTACTGTTTATTATCTTTGTTACAAAACATTAATCTTTTTCTTATGATGCTGCCGATGTTTACTAATTTCACTTGTTCTTGTGTTGGCATCTTGTATCATATATTATACCTGGCCTGGGAAGATACCAGATATATGATGTTCAGTGATTTTGTATTGTCCTGGTGACTAAATTATCTAATTATACAAAAGAACGATTGGAACAATGGGACACAGAAGATTTCAACATTATTTTTCATAGAGACTATATGCTTAGTAATATAGAGATTTAGTTGCATTATACTCTGATCCATGCCCACAAGCATTTGAAGAGGTGATTGGTTCTTTTCTTTATATTTTTCTTTCTTTAGGTTTCCCAATTCATTTTCTGTTTTCATTTTGGGGCTTTCTTGTTACGGATTAGTTAATTCCAAGCATCCAATCTCCAATTACTGCTTCCTGATAAGTGGAGAGGCTGATTGATTGGAAATTTAGGATCAATGGGTGGTCAAACAGATTTATTGTCAGGCATATGTTGGAATATAATATCTTCTTCAGATATCCTGGGCCATTGAAGCTAGTTAACTGTTTTACATGTAACTGCATCGAACAAATATTTAAATGCTGCTCATAAACTGGATAGCTACAAGTGATATGTTTACCTTGTTTTCGGGATGTGGTTGAGTGGGGTAGCTGGTGGTGGGTGGGAGACTCATTTTCTTTGCAAATGGATCTGTGCATGCACACATGCTCAGACACATACAATATTCTCGCACTCTCTAACAAAGGTCATCCCCAGTTCTCATTGATGGGACTGGCATTTCGTAAACCCTACTCATGGTTACTTGAGAGAAGGTACATCTTACTGTTTATTATAATAATTCAATAAGAATTAGCATTAAGATGCTTTATTCACAACTCACAGAGAAGGGGATACATCCATGAAGAGCAAATCACATGGAAGCTATTTTAGCCCATGTTTGGCCCCCATTTTTTAAAACTCACTTTCAATCACACATTTTATCAACTTTTATCAAAGTCTACTAAAATCTGAATTTTTATCAAAACCAAACAGGGGCTTAGTATGTTTACGAGTTTTTCTCTTAATTCCAAATTTCCAATTTTATAATCTGCAATTCTAGCTTTGAAAGTTCTTTGCTATCCGTGTTACATTCATCTTTAGAGGACTAAAGTTTATCTTAGAGTTGACAGCATAATTGATTCTTATTAGATTTGGCCTCTGTTACAATTTGAAGCACACGAACCAGTTATTTAGAATGAGATATGCACAAATTTTTGATGTATTATTATGAAGCTTAAGTTATCTTGAACGATCTTCCAGAAAGCTAAGCGCAGTTATCAGAAGGACCTGGAAGTTTTCCGGGAATCAAGAGATTCTAATACACAGGCATTGGTTTCTGAAGACAGTGGTGAGGTTATTGCTGAAGGATTCACATTTTCTGGAGGTAATAAAAATTGGCTGCATAACATAATGAATAATTCTGGTATGATAAGATGAGTTTGTGCTATATATTTGAGTTCACCAGCCTCAGGGTATAGAGTTGTACACGTCTATGAAAAATATCCTTTCCAGATTTTATCTTCTGTCAGCTAGTTACATTTCATCAGACAGTCTATTTCCTAGTGTAAGTTAAATTATGCCTGTCAATCGAGCTTACTAATAAGACTTCATTCCTGGAATTTCTGCAGTTTAGCAATGTCATTGTTGTTCACAGTTGTGATGAGAATATAATGATTTTATTCTCTATAAACCTGAAAGTGATGTTTTCCTTGTATGATTTCTTGGAGGGAAGAGATTGTGCAAAATTCCTGCATTTATAGGTTCAGTTTACCATTCTATTCTTTGATAGAGTACGAAGGATTGATGACTTCATGAGCAAGTTTTTATGACTTCTATTTGGTCCTTTTCTGGTTTGCTTTACTTGTCCGGCTGAAACAACTTTTGTTATGACAGAGTGGGAACATGACAGTTCATCAGGCTATTACTACAGTCAAAAGACTAATTGTTACTACGATCCAAACTCTGGCTTCTACTATACAGATGCTCTAGGTATAGGGTAAACATATTCTAATTCTTTAATCCATCTGAACTTTCTCCTCCAAAAGATCTTTCTTTCTTAACCTTGGTTATGGTATATCAATGAAACAGGCAAGTGGGTGACACAAGAAGAGGCGCTTGCTGCTTCTCAAGTTTCTTTAGAGTCCATCCAAAGGAAACCTAGTTTAGGAAAGCCACCATCAACAAAAAGTGCTGGGACCTCTCTAAGTGGACCTCCACCTGGGCGTGTTGTGTCGGCACCACTCAATCCTATGAGGTCCATTAAAGGCGCTCGTTCTCAACTTACTGTCAATAAGAGGAAAAGATCAGAAGAAAAGCCAAAAGCTATGTCTGAAGCGGAAGCTGCTGCCCTTAAGGCGAGGGAAACTGCAAGAAAGAGAGTTGAAGAAAGAGAGAAGCCATTACTTGGTCTTTATAAGCGTTGACACACGTTGGCTTCAGGAAACGTTTTTCAATATATGAAGCGAGTTTTAGCATGTTCATTACTAATTTACCCCCCATGGATCCGAATTGATGCTGGCTAGGTAAAATGCTTTTCCTGTCAGTTAGCTTCCATGTCTGATCCTCATCACTTCCTAATCATTTGTGCTGTTATACCCAGCGGTATGTAATGGGAAATGGTTCATTACTGCTGATCTCTTGTAATAGGGCACTGTCTGGCTTCATCCATATGATACTTTTTTAGTACACGATCTTTTTAATGTTGTGATGAATTATTTGAATAAGGTGAAAGGTGTCACATGAATATATGTTTCTTGGTATAACTATCTCACGTGAGTCTTAATTTGTGCAAAAAAAATGAGTTTATCTTGTAGCTACAGCCTACAGACTTCTATCTTAACAGTACTAAAAATCTCCAGATACATTCGTGGGAATGAGAAGAAATTAGATAACATGTTTTTTATCATGCTTTAAGAACTCAAATTTTTTCTAAATTTGGTGACATTTTTGTACATACTTTAAGAATTCTAATTTCTTCTATATAGCTTGTTTTCATTTAATTAATAACTGTTTCCTTTATTTGGTTCTCTCTTGTTTAGGACTCTTCAAGGGCCTTTATTTCTTGTTTAACTGAATTGTTCTAGTTTATCTGTCACAAATCGTACCCCGATTGAGGATAAACAAGAGAATGATGGTTTAAGCGTTTGGACATCTCGTGTGATCTGAAATGAACAAAATAGAAGAAAGAAATGTTATGTAATAGTGTTATTAAGAATGTAATAGTTATTATGTCAATGACTGTGTGGTGGCATAGATTGAAGATGAACTAAGAAAATGACGGTTTAGGTGGTCACGACATGTTTTATGTGATCTGATTCGAGCAAATTAGAAGAAAGAAATGGCATGTGATAGTACTAAGAGTGCAAAGTGACAAATAGGACATTTATAGTCGACTCTAGATTTATTGGGAATAAGAGTTGGTTTGCATATATCGTCCTTGTCGTGTCAAAGAACTTGAGATATGTCACTTGAGTTGTCTCCTTAAGCCCTGTGTGAAATACGCATTTAGTTTATGGTAATAGTAAATTAGAATAGATTGATTTGAGCATTCCCTAAAGTAGGGTCTGTTTATGAATTAAAGTTTTAAAGATGGAAGGCAGTAGTTTTCACTTTCCATCGACACGAGCATGTCGAATGTTGGTAGCGGTAGACTTGGATAGCTGTCGCACATGTTTGCTTGATTTTGTTCATTGTGACTCGATTTTTAATATTTATCATTGTGAAATCTTAGCTTGGTAACAGTCATTTGGTGTCGTTTAATGTTACTTTTTCGCTTGTGTGACTAAGCAATAATTTTTATAATGTAAAAATGTGCTGTTTAGATAGGTATTGACGTGAGAAAATCTCGATGTGTTGGACAGAATTAGGGGTGTAAGCGGTTCGCTTTTACTGATTTTTGACATATTTTCAAATCAAACTGTTTAAACTGGTTTGAGAAAAATTCAAACCTAAATCAAACCATTTTAAACGGTTGGAAAAAATTCAAACCTAAACCTAATGGTTTGGTCCGATTTTAAACTATCGGTTTCTTTGTATATTTTTTTGCTTGTCTACTTTTACGTCATTAATTCATTGAATTCAATAAATATTTATATCTTACTAGCAATAAATCTAAAACAAACTAAATATACCTACTATAAATTTAAATATCAGTTAAATCAAAGTGAAATCACAATAAACTATAAACTAAAATTTAGTTTTTGTTTGCCATTTTTAGGCTAAGGAAATTAGAATAACATTATAATAAGTCTACTAAACTAAATATAAGGCCAAAAACATTAATGATATCTAGCAAGTCGTGATCATCATATTTGCAAAACAAAAATGTTACTGATTAGATAGCGAGAATAACTAACCATAATAATAAAACAATTGTTTATAATATTTAAACATAACAATTGCACAAACTTTTAAGGCCCTGGACACAAGGCAAAAATTAAAACTTGACAAAAATAATAATAATAACTAATTAGGATTATTGAGTAATAATAATATATATGTAATAGAAAATTAAAAATTGACAAAAATACTCACAAATGACAAAAGTCACAAAACTATTGAATTTTACGTATTTGGATGAATTTTCAAAAAATTTCATTTTTTCATTTTTTATTTTTATATATATTTTCGCTAATTTGATTTGGTTTTAAACCGCAATTAAAATTCTCAAATCTAAATGTTTGGTTCAAAACCATTCCGTTGATAGATCCACGTGGCACCAAACTAACGATTTCTAAAATACGATTTCGGTTCGATTTTTCGATTTGACGATTTTTGCTTACAGCTCTAAACTGAATTATGGAAAGTTTTCCAAGCCCGCAAATATAAAGTCGCAATAACAACAAGTAAAAGCTTAATGGAAGTTGTTAGAGTGATTTTTAAAAATTATTTTTAGCTTTTCATTTTTCACTTTTTCTTGTCGTAGTAAAATTGCATTATTCTTTTTGCTGCTCACTTTTTCTCCATGTTAATCTTTTATGGGGAGAGCACGAACAATCTCTTTACAAATTCTGGAGAATTTTCAAATAAATTTTTGGGAGCAGAGTTTACAATTTTATTTGGTTAAATTAGGTTTGGGCTCTCTGATATTTTATATTAGTATGTTTATGGATCTTCAACCTTCAAAATTGACGTTTTGGCTTTTCATCCTATTTGAATTCGTAAATTTTGATCCTCAAGTGTGAACATCGTCGTTTAGAACGTTAAAATTATGTACGATTTAAGTTGAATTGAAGCTAAATGTTTAAGTTCGACTAATTTGTCCTATAGCTATGAGTCATGAAAGTTGCATACGATTTTCACGTTTATATCGATGATTTTGGTCATTTAGGACTCAAATCTATGCATTTATTTAAGTCGGAGGATATTAAACTTCACTTTTAAAGGTTGGAAATGTGTACCACCACTAAGTCACTAACCGAAAGGTTGGAAAGCCTTACTCAATTTATTGGAAACAAAATTTACCGTTCGTGTTATTGCTCAATGGGAATATGCTTTCACGAAAGAATTAATTTACTTATACAAAGTTTGTTTATAAACTAAGTGTTGGCAAAATCTAGATCATTGATTTCCATTGATTTCAAAAATTGTTTTGAAAATGATTGATTTAGATGCTATCAACACATAATTTGTAAATCAAATTTGTCAACCTAGTTTGTACAAATAACATGATTCTTCACGGAAAAGGTAAGAAAAAGTTGGCTGATTCAAAGGATTTTCATGTGAGTTGCTATATAATTATGGACAAAATTAATTGACTTTTTGATAAAGCTAATGGTGCAAATTGGTTGTTTGTTCTAACTTTACCCTACATGAATAACTATTGCTTAATTAAAGCAAGGCATGACACTCCCAAGTAATCATTTCTCTCTCCCGTTTGCGATGTCACATACACAAGTATACCGAATAACAAATAACAGTTTATTTGATGTAAATTTTTTAAAATATATATATATAATTTTATTATATTTTTTTTTTTAAATAGGGAAAGTTATGAGTTCAAGTGTTAAATTATTTTATTGAAAGAATACATTATTCAAAATGAGTTTAAAAAAAGAAAAAAGAAAGAGTTTTAGATATTCTATACCAAATAAGGGCTAAATCTTATGGATTTTGATACTTGGACATCTCAGTGTACCAATCCCTCCCAACAAAAGGGGGCCCACGATGAATAAAAAAATCAACAGGGGGGTCAGTACACCGGGTGTACGAGTAACATGATTGAAATCTTATTCTCTCTACACTATTCTGCTTTAGTACTGCTATCTTTTTTATAGTCCAGGACAATCTAAGACCACCATACGTTGCAACCTCTGGTGTTGATTTGTCATCTTTATTTTTGAATTCATCACCTTTTAGTTTTTATTTGTGTCATTCTCGCGTTGGATGTATTTTTACTAGTTGTTTAAAATTTTTAGTTTCTAAGGGTCAATTAGAAAATATACAAACTCATAATATTTCTAATTGTAGTGGTTGCAAATTAGCAAAAAATTCTGCTTTATCTTTTCCTCAAAGTATTTCTCATTTTGTTGCACCATTTGATTTTGTTCACTCTAATATGTGGGGACCAGCTCCTATTGCCACGAAAGGAGGGTCTCAACATTATGTGTCCTTTGTTGATGATTATAGTCGTTATTGTCAAGTTTATCTTATGAAACAACGATTTAACTTTCTTTCTATTTATCGATCCTTTGGGGCACTTATTAAAATTCATCATTTCATTGTAATTAAGTATTTTAGACGTGACTTAGGTGGAGAGTACACTTCAATTACTTTCTCTGAATTGCTTGCTCTTGATGCTACAATTCATCAAACCTCGTGTACTAATACCCACAACAAAATGGTATTGTTGAACGATAGGCATATTGTAGAAATTGCTCGTTCACTTCTTTTGTCAAGCAAAGTTCCTAGTGAATTTTGGAGAGAAACAACTCTTACTGCTATTTATTTAAGTAATAAGATTCCATCTTTCAAAAATTCAAGTTTATCACCCTTTAAAACATTGTACGGGCATCATCTGGATTACTTTTCATTGAGAGTCTTTGATTGTACTTGCTTTGTCCTTCATCCTGAAGTTAAACGTAGTAAGTTGATATCTCACTTTGCTATTTGTATTTTCTTGAGTTATGGGTATGGACAAAAGGGTTATCACTGTTTTGATCCCATTAATAATAAATTATATGTTTCTCATCTTGTCGTGTTTCTTGAACAAATTCCATTCTTTTATATTTCTTATAATATTCATGATGAGACTAAAACTGACCTCATTTGTATTGGTCCATTCTCTGATGATATTAATAATCCACCTTCCCATACCTTATGTACTTCCAATAATGAAAGTTTCATGAGAGGATTGGAGCAGTCTACCATAAGACAAAAGATCTTCTTTTTAAAGAGATTCGATTTGGTCACCAACTTCCTTAACCTTTTGGCACTGGGCAGGCGTCAGTCTCCATATATGGTTGATTTTTCATGTCCTGCAGATATGCATACACTAGCTCATGATACCCCTCCTCCTTCTATGGCTTCCTAAGTACCACTCGAGATTGTTGATTCAGTTCTTGCTCCATCTCTTCCTCAATATCCTCAACGTATTCGTAAATCCACTCAGTTACCTGATTTTGCTTATTCTTGTTATTATGACTCTTTTTGTTGCTTTTTAATCTTCATTCACAAGTTATCTAAACCATTTTCCTACAAAGAAGCTATTTTGGATCCTCTTTGGCAATAGACTATGGATACTGCTC